CCCTTTCTGTTAATCTGAAAGGATCAAGAGACCCATTTCTCTGAGGCAACTGTGATGTCTCCCTGATTAGTGCATTGGAGTCTCTTGTTTTAAAAAAAAAATAAAATTGCAGTATATGCAAGGCCACATTAGGTTTAGCAGTTGAATAGGTTATTTTTGCCTTGATTCTCAGAAATATTCAAGTAAAAAAAAAATCATGAGGACTTCCATTTGAAGTTGAGCAACGTGCTATAGCGGAATGGAAATACCCTGTGAAATCAGATGCAGGTGGTGGCAGAGGGGATTATCATTAATGCTTTGAGATGGCGTGGGAGGTTTATATTGTCGCTAAAGCGGAGTGAAGGAAATAGAAAAACCCGTCGAGGGAGATCCATCAGCGATAGGGCTCTGGCTCCTCTCAGATGGGAAGGGTTCATGTGCTGAATAACACTGAGGGGAAAACATGTGAAAAGGTGACATCTGTGGTCTCTTTGACCACAGCCTTCAGACAGAACTTATTGTAAGACAATTTCTGATATCCTGAGGGCCGAACGCTTGCGGTGGGTGCAAACACATCCACAGGCAGCACCGATGCGTTTTTTTCCATTGGAAATCTGTGGTCTGTGGGGTTCTAACACTGTACACGTGCGCTGTGAGATCTTTGAGGGGACCTCAGGAAGGGCTGGACAGCGATGTTCATGAACATTTTTTGTGTTCTTTCTCCCGTTCAGTTTGGTGAGAGTGGTTCGGGGCACGGTGCTGAAGCGCAGGAAACGCGGCGAGGATTGCTCTCTTGACTTGTATTTTGGAAAATACGAACCTCTTGGGAGAGCGTGAAGCTTGGAAACACTTTGCTATGGATTTTTTTTAACCTCTCCGATCCTTGAGATTTCTCTGCATTTTTTCATTTGTCCATTCCCTGTTATGGGTATGAATTTGCATTCTAGGATCTCTGACCAAACTACAATGGAACTTTTTGGGGGGAGTTAGGAGCAGTAGAACATGGAAAATAATTTTGAATTATTTACTGTAATGTGAAAGACCATTAATGAACACAAATTTAAATAAAATCAGTATTTAATCAAATGGGAGGTATGTTTTAGTACTGAAAGCCTTGGCTGCAGCGCGGCTGTTAAACTGAATGACAGTGGAAAGCGTAAGAGGTTAAGGTCCTTCTATCACGCTAATCATCACGCTAATGCTGGCTTCTGCCTTCACAGCACCTCGTTTAGGAGATAAAACTCGCTGCTGTTGCGCATCCATAGCATCTCAACCCTCGGACAGTAATTTGAGCGGCACATCTCTCTTTCCTGGTGGTGTTCGGTGGAGTTGCTGTGTAATTTAGGGGACCTTCGCCCATCGGAGGAGCGCGATGCCACCGAGGCACGTGCCGGTGTGAAGTCACGGGAGCACGCCTGGAAAATGAGCCTTCTCCGTACAGGACGTTAACTCATAAATCATACTAATATTCGTACTGATAAATCATCCACTGTGAAAACCTTTTGATACTTGTCTGTTATTAATGACAAAAAAGACTTAATTCCGTTGGCTAACAACAGTCTTCCAGTTTTCTACGGAGTGTTTAGCGGTCCAGTGAGATACAGACTTACACTGCGCCTACATTTTTATTTCTGTAGCAAAGCTCCAAAGGATGGCAGGAAAGGAGTCATCTCTAAAAGTCCTATTTTTTTCTACCTAATAAACTTGGAAATTATGAGGTATTTTGACACAGATTTGGAGGTATTACAGTGGAAGGGGAGAGTGAATGTGGAGTTTGTGCAGTACCTGATCAAAATGCCTCAAATGATTCATTTATGTAAGCTGGAGAAAAAAGGCAGAAGGCAGTTTATTTGGATTTATTAGATTTTTGCTTTAAGCTGCCGTTCATGTCTAGTTCTCACAGCTTCAACGTGGGCGCTGTGGGGAAGGTGGTGTGTTGGGCAAATTGTGCCGGTACTGGGAGAGTGTGGGCAGGAGAAGGTTTTCAGTATGCACCAGGCTGCAGTGATGGCTCAGCACGTGGTCATGTCAGCCGGCCACGTTTAAAGGCCGTTTATTTGCATCTGAAAACTGTTGTAATTTAAATCCTGAATCAAATTTCACTTTATTTTAAAATAGCACTGCCTGCAGGAGCGTGCGGTTACCTTGGTCTTTTCTGGCTCATCTCAGTAGCTGTAGGTAAACAGGGAAAAGGCACATTAGTACTGGGGCAGAGGATGGGGAGTGTTGCGCATCTCTACGATGACCTTCAGCTTTGAGGCTCCCAACCCAATCGCGTGTGTATGTGGATATATGTCGTGCAGTTTCATTCTTTTATAAAAATAAACCTTCTAAATATCGCTGTCCAACGCATATGATAAACAAGACTGAAAATACTAGTTGTACTCGCTCAAGGTTTTCATCTATAAAGCTTAGTTCAACTTGGTGGGAACTCATAGGGTTATTTATAGTTTTCTGTTACTCGCTGCATCCTGTGTTTTGTTATAATGAAAAAGCTGTCCTCTTATCACTAACTCGTTATATTCACCGAGTACACGGTACGAGGTTCAGTGCATCTAGTTTAGGGCTGTCACACGAATAAAAATGAAGAATGTATACTGGTTTTCCACATATGTAAACTTTCTTGCTCTTTTTTTTTTTTAGCAAAGACTTCTGCAGTGAGGTGCGGCTCCAAAAAAAACTTCACCTGTGTTCTCTCCTTGAGGAGGGAGAAGGAAGGAGGAAAGAATTGGTTGAAAAGGAGCGTTTCTTTGTTACGTCGGCACACATTTGATTCTTTAGGAAAAAGCTGATTTGGGTTACAGTCAAACTAAATAAACCACTAGGAACCTGCAGTTCCTTAAGCGCGGCGCACTGCGCAGAACTTGTGAGCTGAGTAACTTTGTGCTGGGTGCTGCGTGTTTGTAACTGAGGAATTGCATAAGTGCTTCCCAAAAATCCAGAGGGTTTAAGTTTATTTTTGCCTTGGTGGGTAAAACTGTCTACTTGATTATTTTTTTTTTATTCCTCCTCTCTTCACATGGATTATATTAATTGTGGGTGTGACTTCATTTCATAGCACTTTAATAATGGAATTTAAAAAGAAATTCTCTTTTTTTAAGAAAAATATTGTGGAACTGCAAGCAGCCGTTAGCTGTAAGTTGTCATGCGTAGATTTTCCTGTCTCCCGATGTCCCCCTGGTCTGGCGTGGTGCAGCTGATACCCGGGGCTGCGGCTGGGGGCCCCCCCCCGGGGGGGGGGGGGTGGGTGCCGGAGGTGGGGTGGACTTTGGAGCGCTTTGGGGGAGACTGTGAACTTGGGTAAATACGGGGGAAAATCAGGTTGCGCGGTTGTCTGTGGAGACAGTACTGGTTCTGAATATTGCAGTAATAAGTAAATTTTTCAGGTGTGAGGCAAACTCCGAGTTAGCTGTACGGTCTGGGTGACTTTAAACACCAAGAAACCTTGATGGTGTCTCAGTGTAACTGGGATGGAAGGTGATCCTGCCACTCTCATGAGACCCCACCTGGAGTACTGTGTCCAGCTCTGGAGTCCCCAACATAAGAAGGACATGGACCTGCTGGAGCGTGTCCAGAGGAGAGCCACGAGGATGATCCGAGGGTTTATCTACTAAAAACCTTCAAAGAGGTGCTAGAACAGGTATGCTGTTCCAGCTCTCACCTTAACAATCCACATACATAACTAGCAACTGTGTCTCCAACTAATGAACCCAGTATTACACAGACCAAGTTCTACAGAGAATGCCCTCCTTTTTCATGCTTTACCAATCACAATAGATGGAACAGTTACACAAAGAAGCACTGGTCAAGATTACCAGAATAAGCCTTCACAGAATTCACAGAATTGTTAGGGTTGGAAGGGACCTCTGGAGATCATCTAGTCCAACCCCCCTGCCAGAGCAGGGTCACCTACAGCACGTTACACAGGACAGCGTCCAGGCGGGTTTTGAATGTCTCCAGAGTGGGAGACTCCACCACCTCTCTGGGCAGCCTGTTCCAGTGCTCCACTACCCTCAAAGTAAAGAAGTTCCTTCTCATGTTAAGATGGAACTTCCTATGTTCAAGTTTATGCCCATTACCCCTCGTCCTATCACTGGACGCCACTGAAAAAAGACTGCTAGGTCTTCAAGGTCCTTTCCAACCTAAACCATTCTGTGATGTTTGATGGAGTTAGCTTGTGCTGCCTTAAAATTTCTTGGGCTTCTCTTTTTCTGTTCACTTTTTTTGTCCAGTTTCACTTGAATGTAGCTCTTTTGAGCAAAGGCTTTTTGTCCCGCTCGTACAGCGTTGATGGCGATGGGCTCCCAACCTCAGCGGCTGCGTGAATGCAGCGGGCATACTTGTGGTGTTCTTTCCTGTTTCTTTCCTAATGGTTGTACAAACCAAACTGGAAATACAACTCAAACATCTACCAAACATTCAGGCTGTTGTTTGTTGGGTTTTTTTAAGCCAAGATGAATTTGACAAGTATGTTATTGTTGGTCCTGTATAATATTGCAAAATGCCTGGCATCTGATTCCAACTGCGTCCTACCAGTAATCGTAAAACCAGACAAATAACAATGGGAATAAAAAAAAATGTTTCTTTTATGAAGGAATGATTGATTTTTTTTCATACGTTTTTCCAGCAGACATACTATATTTGTGTTCCAGCAATTATTTGCATAACACTGCCACTCCAAACCAGGGAACATGCTTTGTCACAATAATCCTTTTGATATCAGTGTCAAAACACATCGGACGTTACCTGATAAACCAACCATGGAAGGGCGATTATTTGAGATTTTTGCGAAGGTTCACTGTCCTGCTAGTTAACATGGCTTTTGAGACTTTGATTTAGACGCTGACTGCTTAGGATGGATCTTTTTAAGTTGGAGTTTTGAAAGTAAAAGCCACAGTTGAGGAAACTGGTTTTCTTGCCTTTTTTTTTTTTCAAATTACTTTTGAAAACTACTCAAAATACCTTGAGATGAATGTTCCTTGGTGAAAATGCACTAAAGAGGAGTTTGTTTTCACGAACAGGTGAATTCCAAAGAGGGACAATCTCAGTGCAAGGAGAAACACGCGGTTCTGCTCAGCCCCCTGGGAAAGCTCGAGATATCTGGGTGTGAAAAAGGCTTACACGAAATAAAACTGCCAAAAATGAGCGTGCTGCCAAGTGGGTAAGTTCATGTCCTATTGATCCTATGTTTATGTTTGTGGTAGAGGAAAGAGATTGCCTAGAGGCTCTAAGACACGACTACTTGTTCTTACTAGCCATACTGGGGAGCGCAGGACTTGCTCTGTGGGAGGCAGAAGAAGCCTCCAGTGCCTTTCAGGAGTGGCGGCTCCAAAATGCATTTCTTCTGCTGCTGCGTCAATAGTATTAATAAAGAAATGTTCTAAAATAAAGGTATTTTTAACGTAGGTTTTGAAAGTACGTCCTCCCCCCTAATTTTGGACACACGTGTGAATCTGTGACTGAGGAGTCAGACTTCCTGGCATCTCTGCGAATTTTGCAGACCTGTCTGTAGGTACACACGTGCCCACGGGCAGAACCAGGACTGAATAATGGTGTTGATTCCTGAATGCTGCTTGGGGGGGCTTCGGTTGGTTCTCCATAGCTGTAATGTCTTCTGGAGTTCAGAACAGATGATACGCATGGCAGTGGAGATGATGTCTCAAATGTAGGACTGATTAAGGAGATATGGGTACGTTTTACGGTTGAATATAAGTGTTGGTCAATCTGGTAAAGTCCGCCTCTCCTGCATCAGGGCTTTGGGCTGTGCTTTTTCCTTCTTTGTGAGGAAATGCCGAGTGACGTCTTTAGAAGGAACACTGAATACTTTCAAAATTACTCGATGCCAAATTTCTTTGCCGAATTCCTCTGTGAAAATGAAAGTTACTAATACTACTCATTCAAGGCTTGTCTCTTCAGCTGTTTTTGGTAATAAAATTGCAGCCTTTGCTGCAGTTCGTTACAGCAGAGCTTTTTCTGACAAGACTCAAACAGGTTTGGCTTCCTTCTCTCCACGTTGTCCTTCTCTCCCCTGCTTTTTGCTTCTGAAATTCTCCATTGATTTGTGGGGTTTCCCCTTTTCTGTTCTCCTGGTTTACTGTCCTTGTAATTTAAGCGTGCAAAAAATAAATCAGGAATGTGAAGCATAATGTGTATTCTGGTTGAAATATGTTTTTGCCTCTAATACAAAACCCCTCAAGCCTCTGGATTTGACAGTTTTGCCAACTCCAGTGATATGGAAATAAGTACTTTGGTTTCTTCGTATGCTGATTTCAGTACTGGATTTCTGCTGATGAGGAACAGAAGTAAAGCAGTATTTAGGATAAGGCCGAAGCTTGCTTTTGCTGCAGAGCAGTGTCTGCCTGAAGAACAACTAAAACGAGGATTCTTCACCCCTGAGAAGAGGATAGGTGGGTGGAAGAACACTAGGAATAGTAGGGAAAAGGTTTGTGCGTTCTCGAAGGTGACGGATACGAGAAATTGCGTGGTGTTCTTCATAATGGGAGAGAGAAAGGGAATGGCATGAAAATAAAAGCTGAAGATAAACTATTGTGAAGCTGCGGGTACTAAAAAATACCCGCTCAAAGTGAAATGGGAGATTATTGGAAGAAAATAATTACCTGCTCTTAATTAGTGGAGGCCAAAAAGGTGGCTGGGGACATACTGTTGTACTGGGGGTGTTTGTGTAGCTCTCCTGGAGAGAGAAGAGCAAAAATCTGTGCTGACTTCTGTCTTTAATGAGGTTTTGAACAGTTCACGTGATGGCTTGCCTTCTCTTTTTGAACGTTTTTAGGGACGGTAAATATCTTCAGGGCGAGTGAAGGTGGAGAGGCAGGGTGGTGACGTCGGTCTTTTGGGCGCACAGACTTTTTTTTCCAGGAAATTACACGTATGTCCCCAAAAGCTCTGAGACCTTCGTTATTCCCCTCTGCCTGCACAAATGAAATCTGCTGCTGTTTGCAGCCAGCGGGTCATTCCCCCGTCGCAGGAACCTCGCCGCAAGGCAAGTCCGTACTGTTTGTAAGGCCGGCGGCTGCCCTCCTCGTGCCCTCCTCGCTGCCGCTTGCACACGTGGCACGTGGTCACGTTGGCTGGTGGAAGAAGGAGCTTATGGTCATGTTCTTCAGGTAGACATCACACAATCCAGATCCTTTTCCTAATTCTTTAATTTTTACTTGACGTTCATCTTCCAGTTTTTTCCGTTGGGTTAATTTCCTGGCCTCCCTGAAGTGTTGAGACTTTAAGTGGCATCTTGGTAACACTTATAACTTATCAAATTGCATTATTTATGCAAAAATTGTTATATTATAGATGGAATATTATTCAAGTAGTTCACAAGTTAATGGTAAACAGAGTATTCTTACAATTACTGTAAGAATTTACGTCTGAAAAAGAAACGAAAGGTGCGACTCGCTTTTGTCTTCACCGATTAGAAAGTTCTAAAAATTTTAAAGCCATCTGTAAATGTTTGTGCTGAAGTATAACATTTAATCTCTTCTACCCGTCACTAGCGTGTAGTTGTTAAATCCGGCCTCATTATTTTTGACAGAATAAAATAAAAACAAAACAGTGCCCAGTGTTTCTCCTAACTGGCTAATAAACACTATGGTAAGAACATTGGGTAGGAAAAGAAAAAAAAACCATAAGAAACATAAAAATTGATTTTAATGGACCCCTGTCAGAGAGAACCATAATGAGCGCAAGTCTAGTAATAAATATTGGTATTCTGCTCCGCGGTGCTTGGGACTTTTCATGTAGAATTGCGTGTAACAATCAATATAGATTTTGGGGTTTTTTAACAACAAAAATAAGTAAACCTTTGAAATATATAAATACTTAAGACTTGCAATCCGTCAGACAAACCTGCTAGTTGTAGAAAAATCTGATGAGAGTGCCTGGTTAATGGCATAATCGGTTTGTGGAGATCTTGCTCTATTTTACAGCTTGTAAAATGCTGTGCAATTAATCACCTGAGATTACAACCTATTCTGTGATGGCTCTCCTTAAAACTTAAGAACACAGGCTATAATGTAGTCTAAAAGGAGAAGCAACAAAGTAAAATTCGGTTTTCAGTATGCTTGCAAGAAATTGATCTATTAATGAGATGAAACTAATTGTAATAACCTAAGGTTATTCTGCTGCGTGTGGAGCTGGCGGAGTTTAAAAGTCAAGGCACGGCGTAATGCCTTCTGGTTGGGGAGGAGGAAATTCTATTCAAGCTTTTTCAATATATGTGTGTACGTGAAAATAAAATAAAATTTCATATATATATACACACAAAGACTTTCAGCTAAACACGATTTTGAAAGTTTTAGTTTACTGAATTCTAGCTGAAATTGTTTCTAACTATTTTGCAGTTTGAGTGCAGCGCTGACAATTGGCTGACTTAAACAGGAACTTGAAATCACTGATTTCTGCTTTAGTGTTTAAATTGTGGGTGGACTTGTTCGTTTATCGTTCAAGTTGGCCTTGTCGGCTACCAAAGTGCTGAAGGTAGAGCCAGAGTAAATGATCTCAGTATCAGAATAGCTCTGGGATAATCAAATCCTTGGTGTTGGATACCCGGAGGCTGCGGTCGCGGTGGCCTCCGTACAGCGGCGTCAGGAGGGGCACGCGTTGGGCTCACACGTGGTCTCGACATCTCTACGGTCATTATCGGGCCCTTTCTGAAATTTGGGGTCTATTGCTTCAGGGTTATAAAGTGGGGCAAAAAGTACATCAAAGATGAAGCTTGATAAATTTGTCTCTAAGAACTTCAGATTCACGGTTTGTATTGTCAAAAAAGAATTAAAAGTATATATATCCTGTATGTAATTTTATATATGTATTTAGTACTATATCAGCTGTTGTAGACACTGAAAGAAAAACTGCACGATTTAAAGATTAGTTTTAGTCAAGAAGGTTCTCTTTCTTTTGATATTCCTGCCTGAAATATTTCAAACGTTTACCTCCTTTTGCTCATATCCAGAAGAAACTCACTTTTTTTTTTTCACGTACTGTACTTCTGAAGTGTCTTTAGCCACTTTAAAGTTTCAGAATTAGTTTCCTTGCTTATTCTGCTGTCCCCTGCAGTGTTCCCACCCTGGGACGACCCCGTTCTGAGAAGCCTTATCTTACTCCTGAGCTGGAGAGGGAAATTACCCGCTGGGCGAGCAGGGAGTCGCACCCGTGACTGCTGTTAACAGTAACAGAACCCGTGTTTCTATCTCCCTGGGCTAAATATTTACAGCAGAGGATACTTTGGAAACATGGGATGTTGCCTTGGCAGTTTTTCCCCCCGCGGTGCAAAAATCTAGATTCTTTCAGGAATTTCCACGCTCCCTCAGGAGAATCGCCCCGGGGTCCCGGCTGGCGGCACGCTCAGCGTGTCGGGCGCTCTCGCCTCCACGTGTGCTACTGCGGGGAAAGGCAGTGGCACCCGAAGGACTGCGGTAAAAGGAAGGGTATAACGTGCCTCGAGGTAACCGGGAACAGCTTCCAGCGGGTGGTTACAAAATCCTGTCCAGCTGAGCACAGGGTCATGAACAGTGCGACGTGTGTAACCGTTATGAGCTGAGTTATATATAACGGCTTACGAGCACGCGTGTGAAACGAAAGTTAAATTTGCCATCTTGATTAGTGGGCTCCGATCCCGTGTTGTGCTAACAGTGACATCCACCGTGGGACTTAAGGATGCCACCATAAGAAGTTGAGTTTTTCTGCATTCGAGCTTAGCTGAGGTGGCTGTCCGTCTGTCACTGCCCTCCTTGGACGTGCCCAGCGCTGGGGCAAGATGTGGGGGATTTGGGGACAGCCACCCCCTCGCCGCTGGGCTCCTGCTCCGCCAGTCCGGGGGCTGCTGGTGCGTGCGGCCGGCTTGAGCTTGGCAGAGGAACCTGAGCTCCCGTCTTGTGCAGGAGACAACGCGTGAAGGTGATGTGCTCCTCCGTAGGCTCTGGGAACTGAGCGTTCGTCGGTGTGGATGTGAACTTGAGTTTGAGAGACTGCGGGGAAGTTTTGGCATTTCATGCGCGTTAGTGAGAAGCGAGGGGGGGGCAGGTTGACTTGCTTTACTGTTGGATGGTCAAAATGTGCCTTTTCCTGGTGGTGTAGGGAGACCCCAGACTTCCCTTTATGCTATTTTCAGAAGAAGGAATCTTCTGGAAGCAGTGCGATCCCATCTGC